GTGTTAACAGCTTCAGCCCAGAACCTCTTTGGTAAGGAAGCTTCTGCTAGCATTGTTCTCACTGCTTCCTTTAGGGTTCTGTTCCTTCTTTCCGCTACACCATTCTGTTGAGGCGTCCTTGCTGCGGATGTCTGATGAAGAATTCCGTTTTCTTCACAATAATGAATGATGATTTCATTCAGGAATTCTGTGCCTTTGTCAGATCTGATCTTTTGAATGGTCTGACTTGCTTGGTTTTGAATCAGCTTCATGCAGTTGGTGAGTTTCCCTTGAGTCTCCTTCTTGCTGTTGAGGAAGATTGTCCACGTGTATCTTGAGTAATCATCAACTACCACCAGGACATATTTCTTTCCACTTAGACTTATTGGTGTAACAGGGCCAAATAAGTCCATGTGGATAAGACTTAATATCCTTGTAGTTGAGGGTGCCGGTTTTGCCTTGAAAGTAGATTTGGTTTGCTTTCCTTTCTGGCACGCATCACAAATGCTTTCCTTCCTGAATACAGCTTTGGGAAGGCCTTCTACTAACCCTTCTTTGGATAGCTTGTTGAGAGTTTTGAAGTTGAGATGACTCAACCTCTTATGCCAAAGCCATAGAAGGTTAGTGTCACCTTTGCTGATTAGACATGCTTCCTTGACATCATTCCATATCACTTCATAGATGTTTCTAATTCTCTTCCCAGTGAGACTGACTTCATTTGTGGAGATGTTTTTGAGAGATGCCATGTCCTTGCAGAATTTCAAGGAGTAACCTTTATCACAAAACTGACTTATGCTAAGAAGGTTATAATTGAGTCCTTCAACATAAGATACAACTTGGATGGTTAGTCCCTTGTACACCAGATTTCCTAGCCCTTTAGTAAGGCCAAAATCGTTGCTTCCTCCAAAAGTAACCCTTGGACCATCATAGGGAATTAGATTGCTCAAAAGGCTCGCATCACCCGTCATGTGTCTTGAGCAGCCACTGTCTAAGTACCAGACACCTGGGTACTTAGCGGCTTCCTGCATTAGGAGGGGGAAGATTTTGGTACCCATTTCAGTTTGGGTCCGGAATGGTTAATGGTGTGTGTCCCTACATCAAGTTCAAAGTTGCAGGAAATTTTCCTTGCAGCTCTAAACTTGTTGGGATTGTAATCATAGTTGTAGGCATAAAACTTCCTACGTGCAGGAGGTGCAATTTCCTGTTTCCTCCTAGCAAACCTAGGTTGATAAGACCTATAGTTTTGTCTAGGTTGTGCATAGTGTGACATGTGTTGGTTATAAGCATACTTAGGTGGCACACATAGTTTTTGGGGTGGAGGATGACTATATCTTGGCATAGTTCTCCACTCAGAATTTCTTGGAAAACTTCTGTCTTCCCCATAATGAGTATAGCCTCGTGTATATTGGGAGTTAGAAGGTTTTCTTCTGAAATTGTTTCCTTTTTGAGGTCTGTCCAACTTCCTATAGTTCTTAGGAGGGACTACCTTTTTGGGAACTTCTGTTGGTTTCTCCTTTTCCTTCCCTTTCTGCTTATTAGGTTTGGCAGTAGGTTTAGGAGGGATGAAAGTTGTCTTCCCTTTCCTTTTGGAACTAGAGGAGTCAAACCCAAGTCCTTTGCGACCCTTATGTTTGGTCGTTTCAAACAGCTTGTTCACTGCTTCTTGGGACTTGAGTATCCCTAGCTCTTTGTTAAGGGATTTCACCTTTTCAGAGAGAGATTCATTTTCAGTCTTGAGTTGAGTGATCTCATTCAATTGACTTTTCCGACTTTCAGTCATCTTGAGATTCTCTTCACTCAATAGTTTGTTCTCTTCTGTTAAGGATGTGTGTTTGAGATTTATCTCCTCAAAGTCTTTCATCATCTTTTTGAACTGGTAAAAAAGATTTTCAGAAGTTGGTGTGCTATAAGAAGATGAGCAGGAGGTTTGTGAGGTTACCTCTTGATCAGCATCATCTTTGGCCATTAGGCAGAGAGTGTCATCTTCTAACATAGTCCACCTATCCTCACGGTTGGACTTCTCAACTCTGCGCTCCATGCAGACGAGGGCTTCTTCATCAGAGCTTGAGCTGGATGACTCGTCACTTTCAGCAGCAACCATTGCTTTCTTTTTCTTCTCGATCCTTTCTCTTTCTCCGTACTTCTCCACCTTTGGGTACGGGCATGCTGACTTCCAGTGGCCAGGCTTCTTGCAGTTATAGCATAAATAAGATTCAGGAGGGGAGTCACTTACCTGTGGCTTTCCCTTGGATGGCCTTCTGATTGAATCAGCCTTCTTGAAGAACTTCTTGAACTTCCGGAATTGTTTGACCATCATGGCAAATTCCTCTTCGTAGTTCTCCATTTTTGAGCTTGATGGCTGGCTGGAGGAAGGTGTGTCACAGTTTCTTGTGCATGTCCCTTCACTTGATGGAATTCTTGAAGTTGTCATCAATGCCGTGGGGAAGGGAGTGACTTGTTCTTCCTTCTTCTTTTTCAGCTCGTGCTCATAGGTTCTGAGTTCATCAAGGAGACCTTGAACAGTGTAGTTCTCCAGGTTTCTTCCTTCTTCCATGGCTGTGGTTTTGGTGTACCACTCAGTTGGGAGTGATCTCAGCAACCTTACATTCTTTTCTTTGGGAGAAAGAATGTGGTTAAGTGAGGCAAGATCATTCAATATTTTGTGGAATCTTTCATCCAACATATCAAATGATTCTCCGGGAAGCATTTTGAAGCTTTTGAACTTCTCAAGCAGGACTTCTATCTTCTGCTTTCTCAGGTCCTCTGATCCCTCACATAGCTTCCCAAGACCTGGCCAAATTTTCATGGCAGTCTTGAGATGCTTAATCTTGGAGAAGGTGATGGGATCAAGTGTCTTGAAGATGGCTGCTTTGGCAATGTTGTCCAGATTATGCTTTTTGCAATCTCTATCATCCCATTTTTCTTTGGGCTTTGGAATGTACTGGTCTACATCTGGAGCAGCTGGATTCCTTTTAGGGTTCTCCATTTGGATTTTCAAGGGTCCATCCTCAAGCACCATCCACATGCAATCATGTAGAGCGTAGAGATGTGCTTCCATCATGATCTTCCAATCATCATAACCTAGAAGAGAAAACTTGGGCAAACCGTGATCCATATTGTTCACCATTATGATCGCTTCTCGTTAATCTAAAAGTAGATAGTGAGAAACCGGCTCCGATACCAATTGATGGTCCCGAAGTGGTGAGTTACAAAGTCTAGAGGGGGGGGGGGAATAGACTTTGTTACAAATTTAAAAACTTTTTCGTTTCTTTTGAGAACGTGAAAATGAGTGCTAATCTAGAGTTCTTGTGAACTTTAGATTATGTGCGGAAGTTGGTGGGTAGAGTGAGCAGTAATCAATATGGATGGGTTAGTTTTCTCAGTTAATATAATTGCAAGTAAGAATAAAGATAAAAGAGAGAGACACGCAAACTTTAACGAGGTTCGAAGGTGGGGTAATCCTTCTACGTCCACTATGTAGTTGGTTGTTGAATAATGAACCAACAATTACACTTGTGTGAATTTCTGCACGGTATATCTTCGCAAGGCCAATGTTGCTACTGCACTCGTGCTGGCTTTGTTGTTCCTTCGAAGGTCACGCTTCTTCAACAACTGCAAGGTCCGAACAATAGGACTTGCAAGACCAACTTGTAAGAAAGTTGACCTACCCCCTTTNCTTGAATCAGCATAATTATCTTCAATCTAGCCGTTGAAAACCAAGAGATTGATATTTCCTTACCAACGAGTAGAATTTCTTCATTCAAGACTTAGATAATTTTCTAAGTCTTTTCTCACTTGTCCGCTTTTTGAGAATTCCGGTCTTCCCTGAGGCATCCGGTTCTTAGCTGACAAATCCGGAAGAGTCATACTCAGTCTTCCTCGTGAGAAGGAAATCCGCGCTAGTCTTCCGACTTAGCCTTCAGCGGGTTGTAATGAGACATCCGGTTCTCATGTAATATTCAGATAGGAGGATTTTTGTCTGCTTTGAGAAATCCTTACTTGTCTCTGATATTTCCGATCAAGATATCCAGTTTCCAAAATTTTGAATTTGATTAAGTCTTCAGGCATCAAACAATTTAAGGAAATATCACAACTTAATTGGAAATCTCAAGAACTTGGTTTTAACAATATTTCTAAAAATTACATTGAATATCTGGGGAGACCTAAAGTCCCTATTACATTCTAAATACATCATCATCAAAATCTATGATATTTTTTTCCCAACAAAATCGGTGTGCATTTTCTTTACGCTTTTATTTTTGCGTTTTTTATATATTGCTTCTGCATTTGCCAACACCATTTTTATCAAACTCCGAAAAGATTTTAAACACCTTATTCACCACCCCTCTAAGGCGTGGGCACAACGTCTAAACCGACTAACATGTAGGACCTCAAGCGCTACCAACTCTTCTAAAACCAATTGGTGTTAGAAGAGGCGCATACCCTAGCCTTATAGTGCATTCACCACACAAGCGCCCACGACATTTGATTGTGACTTGGCACACATAGCCTCCACCACGGGACAATTGATGCACACATGACCAACAATAATTGTTGGAAAACACTTTCACTTTGACGTTTTGTTAATAACAATGTTTGTTTCCATTTAGGTTTTGATATTGACAAACCGTCGGGAACATGGAACAAAATAAAAAGATTCAAAGATAGAAAAAGTTCTTTGAAGGAACAAAAACCACATTGGCGTTTTGAAGACGTTGTCTAAAGACTTTGGTTTTCATTGTAACAAGCTCATTCAATTTCTCTACGTCATGGCTCAAAACAAAATATTTTTTTCATGCATAAAATGAGTGTTTTCATAAATGGTTTTAAGTTTCTAAAACCCCTGGTTCTTGCCCAACCAAAACCATAACCATTGGTTATCGGTGTTCGGCTATGGCGTTCGGTTTTCGGCATTGGTTATTGGCATTGATTTTAGACAAATGGTTTTTGGGATTTTATCTTTGGTTTTTGCTTCTGGACACATTTAAAGGTTTTCCAAATCATTAGTTTTCAAAAACCATAACCTTTGTTTTTTCGGCGTTGGTTATCGGCATTCGGCGCCGGTTATCGGCGTTGGTTTTTGGTGTCAAAATCAATCAAGTGGTTTTTAAGATTTTATGATTGGTTTTTACTTATTGGCATATCAAAATAGTTCTCCAACAAAAACATGTCAAAAACCACCTTTCATTTTTGGTCTTTTGGAGAAAACCATGTGAAACGACATAAACTTGGGTAGCCATGGTTTTTACCTTAATGAAGTGGTTTTTAAGTTTTTATACTTGTTTTATTCATAAAATACATTATATATGAGTTTCCAACACTTGGTTTTTATTTTGGAGAACTTTGGTTTTTGACATCAGTTTTCGGCGTTGGCTGCTAAACCATAGTTCTGGCGAACCATCCCAACATGCATGTCGGAAATCCCAACAGCGATGTAGGCATTCAGAAGTCCTTGGCAGTAGGTTTTTGAACAGCGATGTTCATTGCTGAACAGCGATGTTTTCAAATGATCGTTGGGCTATTTAAGACAAAATCTTTCCATTTTTGAAAGTCAAACACCCCAACATCGATGTTTTGATGACCGTTAGCCATTTTTAAAGGAAAGTGAAAGCCAAAACAGCGATGTTCACTATATGAACATCGATGTTGGGCCAGATTTCAGTAGATCCACTTTTATTTGAATTCCACAAATCATGCCATTAAACCCCAATCAACTCCCATCCGTTACACATCATTTTTGGGTATAAATTGGGTCTTTTGGGTCTACTTTTAAGAACCACTCCTCACATATTTCATAGCTTTACATTGCATCATTCCATAAACTTTTTACATAGCTTTTTAGAGCCATTTCTTGAGGAATTGAGTGTGTTCTTGATCTAAATTAGTTTACTCATATTCTACTCTTTAAGAGAGTTTTTGTTCTTGAGTAGTTAAGTGTTGTGAACACTTTAAGGGAGGTTTGTTCCCTTGGTTGTACGAAGGAAGGGCATATTCCTTCGGGTTGAAGTCTTGGATTGCGGTATCTCCGAGCAAGTGTATTGAGGCTCGTGGGACTTGAGTTCTCAGGTTGTAACGGTTTGTTAAGCACCCGTAAGCTTAACGGAAGTAGTGTAGCTCGAGAGAGTCTCTCGGGAGGCTAGACTAGCCACACGGTGTGGTGAACCAGGGTAAAATCAGTGTGTTCTTTCCTTACGCTTTTTTATTCCGCTCTTTACTTTATCCCTGCGATTTTTATTCCACGAAAATTTATAAACATTCTCGTGCCTCAATATTCACCCCTCTCTAGTGAAGGGCACTTATTCTAACATTTTCATATTTATCAATTCTCAAACGAATTCTAGTTTAAGATATTTCTAATCAATTCTTAAACTATATTCTAGTTTAAGGTACTTTTATCCTATCCTTAAGCTAGGCCTAGTTTAAGATAACCTTACCTTCGCTTAAGGTCAACCAGAAACCGAACAGCGGAATGCTCACTGTCGGGTTGGGTGGCATCCCCAAATGAGTTTCTCTAGTTGGGCTTGTAGATCCCGTACGTACGTTTTAACCCAGGCCACCGAATATTCAAAATTATACCCGCAAGGCCTATTTATAAGCCATCTTAGAGGTCTTCTAGATAGTCTTAGAAACTAACATCAATATATCTTAGAGTTCTTCTAGATATCCTTAATAGTCATTATATTATCCATTCCAAATGGATATATATCTTAGAGTTCTTCTAGATATCCTTAACAATACAAATCATTTCATAATCATCAATATATTACTCCCTCCGTCCCAAAAAGTCTTTCCTGTTTACTATTACGGCCTCTCGATAACTCTAATTTGTTTGCGTGTTTTCATTGATCATTTCACAAAATAAAATATTCTTGCCACCTCTTATCTTGTAGAGTTTCCGATGTGGTTTTTAAATATAATTTTTTTATGTCTTATTTCCTTACCAATTTGTAAATAAAATCATTTTAAAATCCACGGGGTTTTGCACGTTAATCAAAGTAGGAAATTCTTTTTGGGACGGAGGGAGTAATTTTTAATCATGATTCAATCATTCACAATAATCATTTTAATCAGTAGGTTCATCAATCATAATCATCCATAATAATCATTCATCATAATCATCAATCAACATAACATTCAAAGTAAGATCAATTAGCGGTCTAGCTTCGAGTGTTAACACCCTAGCTTACTGTCATGCATCACGTAAGGTCTTTTTAATTTTCAAAACATCATTTTTATTCCAAGAAATCATCTTTTTATTCATCATAATTAATTTGTATTAAAAATAGGATTTTTGGGTTCAAAAATAACATTTTTAGAAGTATTTTGGAAGCAGACAGGTCGGGGGATCGATCTAGCACTTTGGATCTATCCTCCATAGAGAAATTATTCATTTGGATCGATCCAGGAGGTATGATCGGTCCTCCCTGGGTATTTTCAGCCACTGTTCATTGTCTTCTTCGTTACGGGTACAATTTCAAAAATACCATTTTTAGTCATCGACCTCAACGAAACTATATAGAGATGTTTTCCAAGGTTCATAGGTCATTTTGGAATCATTAATTCATAGTTTTAACATCAATTTCATGGTTTATGATTCTTTGTTCTTTAAGCATGTCAAACACAAAACTCAACCAGACGAGCGTTTATGAACCTAGAAACGATCTATATGAACATTCTAGTCATTAGATATATCTACGAGCTTACATTTGAAGCTTAACGGAGGTTTTGAGAATTCTCCGGAGAAACTTCCGGTGAGTTTTGTGATTAGCTTCGGCGACTTCACAACTAATTGACAGCATCATTGCACTCTCCATCCTTATGTAGGAACATATTAGGAGGAAGAATTTCATGAATTGGTGGAGAAATGAGAGATTAGCTCTCCGTCCTTATATAGGAAGATGAAGAAGAAGAAGACAGGTATGCTGCGTAGGATTTGCGTAGGAATTGGTCTTCAATCGGCTGAGTGGAAGAGGAGGCGCCATCCCTGATTAGGACTAATTTTAGTTCTAGTCGGGGTACACTTTTTGGTCCAACTTTCTCCGAATTGAAATCCATTTGCACCGTTGCGATCGGACAGTTAAACTCTATCCAATGCTATAACTTTTATATTTATTTGTAAAACTTTTTCTGACATCATATTTTTGGGTGGTTGACTTTGACAGAGTCAAAATTGGTTTAATTGACCTTTATTCAAAAAGATTCTCATACTTAATTCATATTAATTATTCTCATGATTTATTTCAATAAATCATTTTAAAGTTCCCTTCATAAATGATTTCTTCATTTATCCT